AAGCTTTGAGCTCAAAGAGCAGCTCCTGACCAAGGGCATGGACTCCCCCCACCCTGACTTTGTCGAAGCCCCGCCGTGGGCACAAAATTCGATAGAGTTCTCGGTCATGAGATTACCGCTCAAAAAGACCGAATATCCCACGCCTGGTCTAAAGGCAGAGATCTACAGGGTCATATCAGCCATCACCTCCCGGGTAGTAGAACTTACTACACGGATGGATCGGTCGATCCAGCCAACCACACTGCAGGCGCCGGCTGCGCAGCAAGGGATGACATGCGCTCCATGAGGGTATCAGACAACGCCTCCTCGCTACAGGCAGAGGCCGTTGCGATCATGGGAGCCCTAGCACACGCGTCCCCAATGGGAGGACACGTAGTCATACATACTGACTCTAGGGCAGCCATTGACTCTCTCAAGCTCAACTCACCCAAAGACAATATCTACCTCCTGACCACAATACTAACAATAGCCCAAAGAATACTGGCTCAGGGTAGAAGAATCATTCTCAACTGGGTCCCTAGCCATATTGGCATCAGAGGGAACGAACTTGCTGACAGACTAGCAGTCTCTGGCAGGGGTATGCCCCCCAGTCCCATGATCATTGCACCTAGCCGTAATTTACTTCGGAAGAAGAGTACTGGTGTCGCCAACTCCTTCCTCCTGCAGCTTCACAGAGAGGCAACGAGATCCTCCCCCTCGGCCAGATGGTATTCAGAAGCAACGGGCTATGAACCTCTAGCACTCTCTGAGTTAAAAAACAGACAAGCCGAAGTCATTCTCCACAGAATGCGCATAGGTTACCACTGTAAATGGCAGATAATTGAGACCATTGTCCGTGAAGAGAGGTGTTCCATGCATTGCGGCGAGCCGAACGCCACACTTATACATTACTTTGTGTACACACACAATTCCTGAGACAGGGACCCCCGACAACAGCCGCCGTGCTGGTAAAGAGACTTTGCGATTCGCTTACCCCGTGGCAGCAGGAGCGCCTGCTGGCAATCCCACCGCCACGGTAAGCACCGAGTGTCATAGAATGAAATAAGTCAGCCCTAAAAAGCTGACACAGGCCGGGCCATAGCCGAAGGCCCGGGCGAAGCTAGAACTTCGCAAATCACAATCGCATCGCTTGATAGCGTGGTTGAAGAAGTTTAAAACGCTCTTAACAAATAAGATCAACAGCCACATAGCCAACCTCATCCGGGACTGTATCCAACAACCAAATATCTCGCAGCAAATGGTGACTGGCGTAGTAGCTGCATTAACAAATACATAAATTATAAATATACATTATTGGTATATTTCGTAATACACATATATTCTATTTGTAAACAGTGATAATGAGACAAGTAATTATATACTGATAAATGAGAGCTGCAATAAAGTTAATGTTCATGCAGTTTCGTAATCACAAAAATGAGATATCAATTTTGATTTTTTCTTCTTTTTCCTGTTTGAAGGAAAAGAATCGAGTCACAAGGATAAGTACTGCTCACAGAGATAAATACACCCTGGGATTCCCAAGGCACAGACAGATACAATTTTTTTGAGGTGTTAATATCCACATATTACGTTAATGTAACAATGAACATACATATATTCTTACGACTGTTATTAATAGGATACGATATTTTGTAAATCATCCCATATTATTCACGTGCCCCTACACCGTTGACCAAAACTTAAAGTCTGAATGCGACATAACAAGCTTATCTATGTTGACTTCCATGAGAAAGTTAACGTGTCTGGTTGGGTCATTTCTTTCCTCATGGTTGACAGAGAGTAAATACAACCCTTTATACACATCTGTATTAGCAAATGTACAATTGTCACAGCTGATTTCGACTGTTTGCGACTTGCATTTGTTTCTTCATCCTTTAACACCATATATAATATATGATTTTCGCAAGAAAATATCTTCTGAATGCGACGAAGTCTTTTACATCGATATATGACTCCATATACCAGTTACTATCAGGTAAATGAATGTGGGTAGGTTGGGTTATGACCAGCTGTTTGATTGTACATAAAGATAACGTGACGCTTTTATAACTTAGTATCAGATATTTTATTGGTGATGTGTCAAGTCTATTGTAGAGATACTCATTATGAATTACTTTCTATTCAGCAATAAACTATACTTGATTGATACACTTACTGTTTTCATTTTGTACACTATATATTCTCATTCATTAGATTCGTATCACTCTTTATTCCTTGTTTTCATATTTTTCATCTGCTGCCTAAAATGGCTTTTCTTAATAATTGTATGAGTAGAAGGTAAGACTTTTTTCATGAAAATAATAGAAAACAAAACTAGATGATTCTATCATTCAGTAGGGGTATTTCGGTTTTTTCTTTTTATTTCTTGAAAATTATATACACAAGCACACACATACACATATATATACATATATATATATATATATATATATATATATATATATATATATATATATATATATATATATATATAAATCTCTATATATATATAAAATGG